AATCTGTGTGACACATGAGTAAGAGACATCATTCATCTTTGAAGCAGTGATGTAAAACAGTATTTATCTGACCTGATTGTTCACCAGGGGAAAAAAGTTATTAAAATACAGATTCCTGGATCTCATCCAGACTTATAAAAATAGAATCTCTAGGAAAAGAGTTTGCAAATAAGTAGTTTTGAGGCTACAATGCTTGATAAGAAATGTACCCATTATCTTGCCATCTAATTGTAACCCCTCTGTACAGTATTTTCACAATAAAAAATAAATAAAAATTTTAAAAAAATTTTAAAAAAAAACATAAAAAAAGAAAGAAGAAAAAAAAGACATGGTGTGGAATTTTTATGATTAGCTAAGTAGGGAACTGTTGCTGAAGTTAGAAATTACATATCCATGTTATCAAGAAGGAAACAGGCTAACTTAGCTTGGGATCACAAAACCAAGTAAATTTGGAGGTATAATTCAAATTATAGCATCACATCCAAATTTTTCCTAGCATGTGAAGATTTTTGAATGTCAATGTCACGAGGTCAGGTAAATTTGCAATGCTACAGTGAAAACTGGATGTTACAGAGATTCCTAGAGTTAGAAGAAACTTTAGAATTGTGGCAGTTTCTTCAGCTGTTTAAATTAGAACAGTTATATTCAACCAGTCACAAAACTATAAATGACTTCATGATTCCATACGAATTATAAAGGTTTCCAACAATACTGTAAATCCTGAGTTACTTCTTTTTGAGCATTGGTAGAGTAGTGTTTTGTCCTATGTATTTTAAATTAGGGAGATGGGTTAAAAAAAACAAAATTCAAGAGGCAGGTAAACCACATCCTGTAGATTTTGCTATGTACTACAACCATATGGAAAAGGTTAGCTGTCTGCATTTACTTCATGATCAATAGCAGTAATGTACAGGTCAGAGTTGAGAATGTGGGCCATGTTCAAAGTAGAGAATTCCCTAGAATCTTTTTTCTGCTTAATGACATACAGAGAACAGGGTAGAACAGCCAAAGCCAGGGAGTACTGGTGCCTATATTTCATAGAGTTATTGTTTTCTAAGGCTTAAGATAAGCTTTGTAACTACATTAGGGAAGCTAATAGGCCACTGGAAAAAACTCATTAATACTAATTATAATTCAGATTGTGTTAGTGGATATCTGCTTGGCTTTGAACATGTGTATCAAAAAAATACATTGGCTGGGGGCTGGGAAGTTAGCTCAGTTGTATAGTGCTTGCCTTGCATGTATGAAGCGCTGGGTTCGATTCTTCAGCACCACATAAGCAGAAAAAGCCAGAAGTTGTGCTGTGGCTCAAGTGGTAGAGTGCTAGCCTTGAGCTGAAGAGCTGAGGGACAGTGCACAGGCCCAGAGTTCAGACCCCACGACCGACAAAGAAAAAAAAATACACAGGCTCCTATCTGTAATACTAGCTACTTGGGAGACTGAGATCTGAGGATCATGGTTTGAAGCCAGCCCAGGCCTCAAAAAGAAAAAAAGTTCATGAGTCTCTTATTTCCAGTTAGCCACCAAAAAACAGAAGTGGAGATATGGCTCAAGTGGTAGGGCATAGCTTTGAACAAATAAGCCTAATACAGTATGAGTATGAAGACCTTAGTTCAAGCCCTAGTACTGGCATGCACACATACACAAACACTCAAATGACCTTACATTCTAATGACCTTACAGTCAAAATGAATAAGTGTCAATTGTGCTCAAAGTTTTTCTATGGGGTGCACAGCAAGATCTCAACTTCCTTTTTCTTTCTTCTTAAAATTATCTATTAATATGCCTGTGCTTGTGATCATTCTTTTGCCACTTTATAAATGGTGGAAAAGGGCAAAACTTAAAAAAAAATAACTTTATGGATGACAAAGAAAAATAATAATTGACATTTTGATATTGACAATGATGTCTTCAAAACTCTTTTCAATTCTGACCCTTAATTCTTAAGTGAAGCATAACTCATGGAAAATTCTCGATGTAAAAACCTCTAAAATAGAGGTGATGTCTTTCAAAATTTAACCGAATAGGTTTCTTGCTATCTATTTTTCAGGGAAATGATTATGCATAAGCACATTGTGATGAATTTTAAGATCAATATGCTTGACCAGGAGGTAGTCCCAAAGTGATTTCACTGAATCATTTAAAATTACTCTGAACCGGTCACCAGAGGCTCACACCTGTAATCCTAGCTACTCAGGGGGTTGATATCTGAAGATCGTGGTTCAAAGCCAGCTGGGACAAGGAAGTCTGCAAGACTCTTATCTCCAATAAACCACTCAGAAAACTGGAAGTGGTGCTGTGGCTCAAGTGGTAGAGTGCTCAGCTCGTGCTGAAGAGCTGAAGGGCTGAAGGACAGTCCCCAGGTCCAGAGTTCAGGCCCCATGACCAACAATAAATAACTAAATAATAAAAATAATAAAAAAATTACTCAGAACTTCTCATAGGATATTTAACATGACATATCCTATTAATAAAACAAACAAATACTGAACAATCCCAAATGTGTGGCAGGATGCATATTTTTCCAAAATTATCTTCAAGGTAACAGGCAAAACATTTGCAGACCAATGAAATGGTCGTCAAAAGTTGAATCATAGTTGCTGTTCAGTAAACAGAGGCGGAATCAACATTTGCTGAATGTCAAACAATGACCAAGCCACTGCCTTCATGAACCTGGAGCTGTACCTCCTTCAGATCATGACGTATTTGTAGTTTCTCCCCTACATGGCTCAGTCCTCCAGGCCTGGCCTTCATGAATCTTCAGCCGTGCTTCTCACACTCCCCAACTCCTACAAGTTAATTGTAGACAAAAGAAAGGCTGTGGAGACACAGCCTGTGGCCAGGCTTGCACACTGCCCGCAGCCAGATAGAGTTACAGGTTCCTGATCCCCCACTGTTTGATTCTGAAATGACCGCCATAAGAGTAGTGTGCCTGTTCATTCGTGGTGATATAGATCTATTCTGTATTGTCCGACTCAGGGAAATTAATCTTTTCTCTAAGGTCTTAGGGCCTCCTTCTCCTCTGTTTTCCCCAAAGTAATTGCCAACCTTCTACTCTGACCCGGGATGTATTGTGATTCCCGGCCCTTCTCAGTTCCTCCCTCTCTCCACTCAAATGTTTTTATTCCCACAGCTGGATCTTCCCCTGCAGGCTTTCTTCTGCCTGCCCAGCTGATGATGTTTTCCTGGCTCCAGAAAACTTCCGAGAGATTGTTACAAACAGTGCTTGCGGGGACAAAGGACAGTCCCCATTGAAACAACAACAACAACAACAAAACTAGGACGATTTCTTGCAAGAATCCAGATGGGTGGTCATTCCACATTAACACTGTGATCTCTCTCTCTCTCTCTCTCTCTCTCTCTCTCTCTCTCTCTCTCTCCCTTTCTCTCTCCTCTCTCTCCCTTTCTCTGTCTTTCTGTGTCTGTCTCTGTCACTCTCCCTTCCTTTCTCTCTCTCCCTTCCTCTCTCTCTCTTCCTCTCTCTCTCTCCCTTCCTCTCTCTCTCTCTTCCTCTTTCTCTCTCCCTTCCTCCTTGTTACACAGGAGCAGTATTATTATCTTTAAAACCTAGGGAATTAAACTAAGGTTTTGATTGTAGCCAAAGGTCTAGTCAATGGTTAAAGTTGTTTTAATACCTGTTATTCTTAGAAACAAACAGATTGTATTGGATTGCATTTATTCATGTTTCAAGGGATGGGCAGCTTTTTAAAAATAACAATACACTCAACCCTAAACATAAGCCTTGAAATAATAAGCTTTTTATCCCTACAGTATTGAGAATAATTGGGGGAGGGGAGGGAATAAAACTCAATTCGTTCAACAATGTTTCATTTTACTGGACACGTTAGAATACATTTAATTATCCTTATTTGCATGGTGGGATTCTGTTTATAACAATGATTTACATTGAGTTAAAATGGGATGGGATGGAATGGGAAATGGAATGAGAAAATGTGTTTACAGCTTTGTCAGTGTTTCCTGCCAGCTCTCTGGCTTTCCAACAGCTGCAGCAGGACATGTTGCTGGTGTTAAAAAGAAATGTGGCCAACTTTATTTTCCTAATCTCGGAATTCAACACATAGATCACCAGTGAATCACCTTGTGTGTGTGTGCATCCAACCTCAGGATGACTTACGCTCCAGTCATGAGACATCACTGTGAGACCCGAATACCAGGGCAGGTCCCAGATTCCCTAAATTCCCTGCCACTGAGCACACTATGTATTTTCAAAGGCTACTTTTTCCTCATATGATTGCTAGAACTGTAAATAAGGACTCCAAGCCAGCACAGAATTTCTAAATCTACAGAAAATAGATTTAGAAATGTTCTTTGTGCACTATGGTATGGAAATACCACAATGAAACTTGTTCATAACACACATGATTTCCACACCATGATTTCTACACCATGCTCAATTCCTGCTCTCTTTATTTAGTTCCTGGTTGTAATGATCATGAGTATTACTACTTCTGGAAATCACTCTATTTTTAGCTTAGAAAGCTGGGAGTGGGGGAGAAGTGTTGAGCAAATGTCTTTTGTTTTGTTTTGTTTTTTGGTTGATCTTGGACAGCTCTGATACATTCTTTATTTATAATGAGTCATCTGTGATAATTAGGTGTTCCATATTAATTTCATTGTGGCCATAGCTGAGTAGTGAATGCTGCCCCATGAAGCTCAGATTCCCTTGGTACTTATAAAATCTAATTTCAGGATCAATCGTGGAAACTTTAGTAAGACAGATGTACTAACAAGATCTTACTTTAATTTCTTCACTTGATTTTCAGTCTTTTGTAAAGTCTGGCTCTGATGCCTACACAAAGGAGAGAAGTTGGTCTGTTCAGCAGAAGGCTAAAAGAATACGGAGCTATAAAAATCCATTTGCAACAATGAGATGTACAAGTCGTTATGTTGAAAAACAAACTTTATAACTTTGGCTGGGGTGGGGGTAGGGGGTACGGGGGATGGGGGGGGGAGATGGGAAGGGATGGGAAGGGGAAACAAAGGAGGAGGCAACAATGCTTAATAAGAAATGTAGTCATTACCTTGCCCATGTAATTGTAACCCCTCTGTAGGGTATTTTCACACACACAGAAAAAAAAAAAAACAAGAAAAATAAATAAATAAAAATAAAAATCCATTATTAAACTGATAAGAACAGATACTACACTTGATCTTAGCCAAAAGGCCAAGAAGCAATGGTGGGGGGTGGGGGGTGGGGGTGTAGCTCTAGAGGAGGTGAGAGGGAAAGGATGGGATGGTAGGGGATAAACAAAGGAGGAGGCAACAATGCTGGATAAGAAATGTCCTCATTACCTTGCTCATGAAACTGTAACCCCTTTGTACAGTATTTTCACAATAAAAAAGTTAATTAAAAAATTCATTTTTAATAATTCCCCATGTGACTTTTAAAAACCAGCCCTTTAATTCACTTTTAAAATGTATGCCACGTAAGCCTACGATTGATTTTGTTAAATAGAAATGTATCCTAAAGTATTCAAACTTACCTTACTTTTCCTTTGTGTTTCTGGTGCTAGAGGTAGCCCCCAGGACCTTCCTTACACATGGTAAACAAGAGATCTACCAGGAAGCTACAAGCCTAATCCATTTTCTGTTACTTTATTTTGAGACATAGTCAGACTATGTCTAGTCAGGCTAGAACTGGCCTCTAACTCAAAATCCTCCTTTTTCTGCCTCCAGAGTATTGGGCATATACTTCCACTCTTGGCTTCAAAAATCATTTTTTTATTTGCCACAAAGTTATCGTGAAATGTGAACAAGAAACAGCATGTGGAGGCTAAAGTAAATTGGAAATAAAGATTTCTAAGAAACAGTTTCTGAATGGGAATTGTATTAATGTATAGAACACCCACCAACAACCCACTTACTGCCATAATCAATTCTTCTTCAGGCTCTCAGAAGTACTACGAGCCACATGTCTGCCATTTCTAGCTTGGTCTGTCCGTCTCTCCCTCTCTGTCTTTTCTATTGCAGTATTATTCCCAAACACTTTAAAGAAATTAATGGTGGGAAAAGGACATCTTACAAAGCCATCTTATTTAAGCTGAAAATGCTTTGTTTAAAATTCTTTACCGAGAAAAAAAATGTATTACTGCTGAAGACAGAGAACTGAGAATTGTCATGAATGGATTACACACACACACATTTTCTCATCTTCTATGTTTTCAGGCTGATGGTGAGGCTGTGAAAAGCTTTGTGGCTGAATACAACAGTGCAGGAAGCAGCAATCCCAGGCAGGGTCTGCCTCCAAATCCCATTATCTTCCCTCAAACTTGCTTCAGTCAATTTACTTTATCCCTACTTGATTACATTCATATGTAAAGGTTGTTTATTGGAACCAAGAGTTTCATAAGCCAGCTAGAAGCTATGTGATATAAATTTGCACTTAACCCTATTAACGTTATATTTTTTAAATTCCCAAAGTCTTCCTCTTACATTTTATGTCCTGGGATACAACTCTAAGTATGAGTTCACAATGGTCATCACTTGTAGATGCTAAAAAGTTCCTACATATTTTCTTTGCTTGTATCATTCCTACTTCAAGCTAATTAAAAGTTATATTGGCCACAATAAAGTGACACGTTCTTGAATAGATTTTGTCTTACATAAAAGGAGTTTCCTTTTTAAAATTTAAATTGCAAGGCCATAATATGATTGAACTCAAATAATGGACTATTCTGTATACCACTTCTAATATTGCCTGCCTTAGTTAATTATTTGCCATTTCAATATTTTCCATTTTCCCAACAATGTGTGAATGGGGAAAGGATGACGTATCTTCTATCATTTTATTCCCCATATATCAATGCCCACTTTTAGTCAATGACTTGCTCTCTGTTACCTAGGCTAATTTTTAGAGACATAAGTAAGGGTTATTCTATATTCAGAATCATTTAGAGACTTATTGTTTGAGTTGTAAATAGCACATGATGTTTTAGGTGACACATGTTTATTTCCGCTGAAAGGACATGTCCTATTTTTGAAGAAGGGAAAGAAATTTGTAAGACATCAAATGCTTCTTGCGAAACAATTTGGTGAAATAGATGTAAATGAATCAGAAACATGTGAATTGAATTTCAATGAAAATTAATGGGTTGAAATATGAAAGGGACACTGGCTGTGGGGAAGGAGTGTGGTAAGGCCGGAAGTGACATTTGCTTTGTTTTCATCAGTCTCGGGTTGTTGAAAAATGGCTTACTACTCAGAATTCAACCCCATCCAGATTCTCTGTAGCCTAGGGATTGAAATGCAGAATGGGACAACAACATGCAAATTTACCTCACAGCTTTATCTGGCTCCAATTATAATGGGTGCATTAAACATTGCCACTGTGTAACCCGTTAAAAATCACTTTCAATCTAAAGCTAGTGGTTTTCTATGTCATTCTTTCAAGGGTGAACAACACATTGTGTGTGTTGCTCAAATATATTGTTGTCCCCAGATTTACAGATAAACTTCATCGATATATCTTCTCCCTAACAGAAGATGATCAGATATAAATGAAAGCATGTGAGGCTGAATGTGTATATACACACATGCTTGGGATGGGAAGGGGGGAAATGTTGGAGGATTGGAAAAAAAAGGAAGGGAGAGAAAAAGAAGAAGAGGAAAGGAATAAGTATCTTATGCACAGTTAGGCCATCTGATCCAACTTAAAAGCAAACTCATTCTCATTCAAGCTTAATTATGCAGAGTGCATAAAATATCTACAAACAGCCAACTACCTAGGGCTATATTTATAATTCTAGCTATCCAAGAGACTAAGATCTGAGATCTGAGGCTCACAGTTCCAAGCCAGCCCAGGCAGGAAATTCCATGAGACTTTTTTCTCTAAGTAAGCACCCAAAAAGCTGGAAATGGAGCTCTAGCTTACTAGCTTTGAGATAAAAAATAAAATTAAATTAAAATTAAAAAAAAATAACTCAGGGACATCATCCAGGCATCAAATTCAAGCCCCAGTAAACAAATACAGATATATATATATATATATATATGTATATATATATATATATATATGTATATATATATATATATATATGTATATATACTATGCTGCTATCAATTGCTATCAATTTAAAAATAATTCTGTTACTATAGAAATATTGGAACAAGTAATAAAAGATTTGTAAATAAGTCTCCCAGTCTCAAAATATTAATCCATTTGATATGTGGTAAAAGGGCTCAGTCTCCTAAAACCAAGGACATTTTAAATGTTTCAGAAACTTCCTAGGGGCAAGAAATACCTAACTGGGGTTTGTATTCTTTATATGTGTATTTTGAGATAATATCTGATACTCCTTAGGTAGCTTTCCAAACATGGCACTTAGTAGAGAAACATGTGAAGAGCACTGTCTTTATTAATTGAAAGTGTAGTCGCTGCTGGACTATTGTAATTAGAATGGCTGGTGTAATTGGAATCCAGGTTGCTTAGAGCCGTGCTAAGGGCTCACCAAAGCAGGAAGAGAAAGGAAGTGTCTGTTCGTTGGGTTTATTTGTGCCAAATATTTCATTCCTTTCTCTTCTGGAAAAGTTTCTCCTCTTTGCTTTTGTGCAGGCAAGAAGTTTTGGAATTGCTCTTAAAATACTTATTTCATAATTGGACAGGAGATAAGAGTTTTTTTGAGGGGGAGGTCTTTTAATTATCTTTAAGTCATTGTACAAAGGGGCTTCCCTTCAACATGTCAGTTTATGGTCAATGTCAAGGAGATACGTTTTAAGTTCTGGCATAGCTCTGGTTCATGGAAACTCCAGTGCCTAGGATGTCTGTTTATGAATAGTGTTTTTTGAATAGTGACAATACAACAGGTGCAACTGTTTCTGAGCCCTCGAAGTCACTTTGTGAGTGTGTGTATGTGTGTGTGTGAGAGAGAGAGAGAGAGAGAGAGAAAGAGAGAGAGAGAGTACTGAGGCTCGAACTCAGGGCCTAGGCACTTTCCCCGAGTGTTTGTGCTCAAGGCAAGTGCTCTACCACTTGAGCAAGACTCCACTTCTGGCTTTTTGGTAGTGAATTGGAGATGAGAGTTTCACAGAGGGCTGGGAATGTGGCTCAGTGGCAGAGTGCTTGCCTAACATGCATGAAGCCCTGGGTTTAATTCCTCAGTACCATATAGATAGAAAAAGCCAGAAATTGTGTTGTGGCTCAAGTGGTAGAGTGCTAGCCTTGAGCAAGAGAACCTTAGGGACAGTGCCCAGGCCCTGAATTCAAGCCCATGACTGGCATTAAAAAAAAGTCTCACAGATTTTCCTACCTGGACTGACAAGAACTCAGATCTCTGTCTCCTGAACAGCTAGAGTTACCAGTGTGGGCTACCAGCCCTTGGATTAAAAGTCACCCTTAAGGTTTCGTTAGTCATCAACAACAAAGTTCATGAACAGTGTTGACTGCATGTTTATCATCATCTACAATCACTATCTCTAAACTCCTCAGCAAAGTGCCACTGTGAAACGTCTAACCTCAGAGCATTGTTGTCATGGTGTAGCTTCTTTGAGGAAGGGCATCTGTTTCTTCGTGTCCATCGTGATTTGCTGGAGTCTTCTGTCTCTTGGAAGTGTAACAGGACCTCATCCCTTGCTTTTTGTCTTGTCCTGCTCCCTCACAGGCCTATCCTTGTAGCAGCGACAAGGAATGTGAAGTGGGAAGATACTGTCACAGTCCCCACCAAGGATCGTCGGCCTGCATGGTGTGCCGGAGGAAAAAGAAGCGCTGTCACAGAGATGGCATGTGTTGCCCTGGTAACCGCTGTAACAACGGTGAGAGACACCGCTGCATGGCCACAGGCTGCCTTTCCCATGCAGGAAGCCTGTCCACAAGTGTAGTCTAACTTCTGTCTCAGGCTCTTGAAGTACAAGTCCCTCTTTAGAGTTGGGAAGGAATGGGATCATGATTTATGTAGCATGAGGTCACCTGGATCGCCTCCCGAACTTTAGTTTTCCTGGGCTCTGCCCACCTTCTGTGTTTTATGCTGTACTCTCATCTACAAACACTGCAAACTACCCACAAGTGCAGAATACATAAGTGAAGGCATGCAAAAGAGCCAAAGAGGAACCAGCTGTGACTCAATAATGAAGCCCTGAGTCCTTTTCCCAGTCCCATAGCAGGTTTATGTTTAAGATGGCCTGTGGCATGCTCATCTGGTGATGGGGTGATTGGTTCTTGGTTTTAGCCCCCAGACTGGCTTCACGAATGTCAGTAAGTGCAGGAAGTCAACTCAGCATTCATGATGAAATGGAGCATTACAAGCAATATACAATAGAAATTTTACTTGCAGAAGGTGATAATGAACACATATTACTGAGTCATATAAAAGAATTTAATGAGGCTCATATTCATGCCAACTGTAAGTGCCTTGGACAAGATGTGAAGGAAAAATGACTTCACACTGTTAGGGAGGGATGCAGTATAGACTAAGAAGGTGCTGTTTGTGAACCCAGAACCCCAGATCCAAAGACTAGATGTCTGGTCACATGATTTTAAAACTCAAGAGCTAACATAACTTCTACTATCAAATTACTATTCTAAGCACTTCATTTACAGTTACCATAACTCAATGTGGTTAATTCTGTCTTCATTCCCATTTTTATCCTTTTGCCCAAAGTTCTTTGATTTTTGAAAGAAACCAGATTTAGATGAAGGAGGGCAGGCTTCAGAGCAAGAGTATTTTATGCTCTCAGTAAGTAATTCAAAGAATAAATGGATGGAGAAAGAGTATGAGAGAGTGTGTGTTAGAGAGAAACAGTAGGCCAACAAAGACACAAATAGATAAATGGTTTCCTATCTTACATCAGGACATGGAAGTGAAGTGATTTCATTGCTTATATCCCCATCTCTAGGAATCTGCATTCCAGTCACAGAGAGCATCCTTACCCCTCACATCCCAGCTCTGGATGGTACCCGGCACAGAGATCGAAGCCATGGCCATTTCTCCAACCATGACCTGGGATGGCAGAATCTAGGGAGACCACACACCAAAATATCACACATCAAAGGTATGACTCTTTATGTTTCCAGGTTTCTTTTTCTTTTCTTTCCGTTAGTGGTATAGCAGGGTTGAGTCTCTGTGAAGCTTTAGCTCCTTCCAGATAGGCCTGGAATGAATTCCAGCCTTGGATAGGGACTCCATCCTTGGATGTGAATACCACCTGCTGTTCTGGTCCTCCAGCCTAAATGCAATAGTGGCTTTGCCTCATTCTCTGGTAATTCTTCATTCACCCTCTACCCATAAAGCCAAAGACTTTCTGTTTCAAGGACTCAAAAGTGTCCTGGCTGGACTCTGATAGCTGGTGTTAGATGTCCCTGAGAAATTCTACTTTCTCTTTGAATCTGAGGTTTTCTTAGATCTGCTCCCAAAGGGAACAAATTGATTAGTTTTAAGTCCAACTTTTAGTTTAAGGTTTTTTTTTGTTGTTGTTGTTCATTCATGCAATAGAGAAAAGGACAATGATTAGGGAACTAGCATGAGAAGGTAAAAATTAGATGAAGCACAGACTTGGTTTTTATTCAACTTGATATTCAGAAGAGAGGAAGCCAGGGAGAATGCAATCATAATATTCAGTGTACATATGTGAAAAAGGAACCAGGGAAATGGAGGGAATAGGTAGGTCTGGGAGAAATTGGGGGATGAGGAATGGAAAGGGTGTTACTGGCCAGGATGCATTGTATTTATAAACTGACAGAGTGATCCCTTTGTACAATTCTTGGAAGAAAACAAAAATAGCAATTTTAAGAAGAAACTTGACAGTCAGATGGTACCAAGTGGAAACTTACCACAAATGCATTTTCCTGACTAACAGGAGAGCCAAATGGTACACCAGACTTTTCATTATAAATGGTAGAAGCCCATAAGATAGTGTGAGTGATAGTATCAGCCATACTACTGGTCACAAAAGGGTAATAATTTCTCAAGTGTCTTTGGCCATGTTCTCCATAGGGCATGAAGGGGACCCCTGCCTGCGATCATCAGACTGCATTGAAGGGTTTTGCTGTGCTCGTCATTTCTGGACCAAAATCTGCAAACCAGTGCTGCACCAAGGGGAAGTCTGCACCAAACAGCGCAAGAAAGGCTCTCATGGGCTGGAAATCTTCCAGCGGTGTGACTGTGCGAAGGGTCTGACTTGCAAAGTATGGAAAGATGCCACTTACTCTTCCAAAGCCAGACTCCATGTGTGTCAGAAAATCTGATCACCACTGGGGGAAAAAAATCCGCAGTAACAGACTGTGAATCTGTGTATTTAATGCATTATGGCATGGTGGAAAATAAGGCTTGGAATGCAGAGGAATGGCTGGAGGGAGGGATAGGGTAAGAAGAGAGATCACAGACAGATAAAGGAAAGGAGAACTAACTGGATCAGAATGGGCGTCTTTCCATTATGCAATTTCTTTCTGTAAATAATGTACACATTTGTGAAAATGCTGTTATTAAAAAAAATAAAAAGCACACAGTGGAAATTACTGACAAATACCATGTGCCTTTCCAGAAGCTAAGAAAGTTCCTTTAAATTGCTGATTACTTACGCAAATAATCTAAAGCTATATTCCCATTCAGAGTTAGAGTTTCACAAAATAACTCCATGATTCCTTGATATCAGATAAGCTAAAACATGATGAGCTAATAAACAGGAAGTGAAAACATACAACATAATTAATTTGTGTAGTTAATTTGAAACTCTGACCACTCAATTAAAGGTCTTTGGAGACAAGATTTTAAAAAGCAATCAGTATTTTTCCATGTAATGTTAAGATCATGACAGAAGTTTTTCAAGGCCTTTAAAGGAAATCAGACTTGCTTATCCTCAAATTGCTTGTTTCCATTTTTAATTTTTTAAAATGTCACCTGTATTTCATAAGAATCCCTTTAAGACAAAAACAGATCCTTAATTCTGAAGCAATAACATTGTATTTATGCTGATTGGATGCGATTCCTACTGTGAATATGTATGTTTTCTTTTCCAAACCTTACATATTAATTGTGACTAGTGCAATACATGCACAGTGCAGAATTTTCAGAGATTGCAAAAAAAAATATTAAAGATGTCCAAAATGAGTGGGAAGGAAAGCTATTTTTAAACAGCTTTGATGTAACCTACATTTTATAGAAGTTGACTGGTAAATACATTTAAGTTTTACATGCTTCCCAGCAGAGTAGAATGAAACAGATGACAGACACTTGGGCAATAGATAGCTGAACCATGAAGAAGGACAGTAAGGAAAGAAGGGAAGTTGCCCTCAGATCCTTTGTCGGAAGCACACGCTGACTTATCAGCTTTGAGGCCAGAGGCAACACAAACTAAAATGGAAGTTCTCCATGGAGATTGCTACTGGAATATTGACTATCCAGAGGAGATCACTGTGAGGTTACTTGCCCCTTCTATCCCCAAAATACTTATTTTATATTTTTACGGTTGTAAAATAACATAGGAGATTTGGCAAATGGGACTTGAAAGTTGGGAGAAATAGGATATTCCACTGCCCTCCTTTAGTATTTTTTTTCTGCTAAATAAAATGTATTTTTATCTTTAAAAATACTGTGCAAGTAATTAAAAGATTTAGTGCAATTAATAAAACTACAGACACAGGAGGTCTGTCAATACCAACCAAATGATCAAAGTAAAGGCAAAATGCACCTATCTTATTGATGTTTGACATTGATTCTTTACATGTTACAAATAAGTACAAATTATTAAGATATTCTATCATGTAAAAAACATGTGAAAACATAGCTAAGGGAAAGAAATCTAGAAATTGGAGTAGAGTGTCCCATCCTGTACATAAATTTGAATATTTTGCTGTAATTTAAGGAATTTGCCAGGAGTGTTGCAGGAAGAGAAGCTATTTCTTCTTAAATTCAGTTATGAATAAACAACTTAGTTATAGATGTTCTTCACAAAGAAGGAAATCCTCCTTAAGCATTTAAGTGACCAGTGGTATCATCTAACTTTTCTTCACTAATCTTTCCTGGCAAGCAGCTGTTTGATTGTCAAAGATATAATTAACATTTTCTGTAGCCATTAAGGTTAAAAAGATAATAATTCGTTAAATCTAGGTATTGCTACTCTATGGATGCCACATGTTCTAAATTAAAACAAAACTCACTTGACTTAAAAATATCTCAGTGCTTATTATGCCTAGAACATAAAAAGGGAAAGAGATTATCTAGTTGCTGTTCCTTTTTCATTTTTGTAGATCACAAGTCACTACTCTTCTACTTAAGCCCTCTCTGAGGTCTCAAATTCACATTCTCCCAGTTAGACATTGAATCTGGGTCTATGTATCTATTCAGAATTTCAGCTTCCCCCCCCCCCCCACCCCACATTCACCAAGATAAGTAGGATTTTACAGTTTTCATACCTGCAAAACCAAAATTACAATTTGGTTAATCCAAGAGCCACGATTTGTGCAAGCAAGTGGTGTAAGTTTGTTGAGATGAAAATGCAACATTTCAGTGAAATATTTCCTCTAGGACAATTACATTTGCAATCTGTTTTCCACATTATTTCCCTTATATACGTCTTTTTCAAAAGTTATTATTTGAAGTAATTTATTTACAGGAAATGTTAATGAGATGTATTTTCTTATAGATATATTTCTTACAGAAAGCTTTGTAGCAGAATATATTTGCAGCTGTTGACTTTGTAATTTAGGGGAAATGTATAATAAGATAAAATATATTAAATGTTTCTCTTCCAAAAATTGAATTCAAATTTCCATGTGTTTTGCTTATGGGAAAGGCATTTGTAGAATCACAGAGTGCAACTGGATTTGGTCTGAATTTTTCAGGTTGGGTTGGAGTCCTTCAAATGATAGCTCCATAAGTTCCAAGCCTTCTTCCTACTAATGAGGCAGCTCATTTCATGGTAGGACAGCTATAATTGTTAAAAGTTATTTTTTTTATTAAACCAAAGTAGTCTGGCTTGCAAGTGCCAGCAATTTATTCTTCCTTTGCCTTTTGGAAAGTCTTAGGAAAAGGACATTTTAAATTTCTTCCAAATACTTGATGACTGGTAGTATATCCCCACAGTCTTCCCTCTTGGTGGAAATTTGCCAACACAGATGTACCAGCATGCTTCTGGAAGTGTTACAGCTCCATATGGCACAAAACTAAAGATGTCTATCTATAGATGTTAATGGAGCACATTACCAGGGTGCTGTGATCTCAAATCTACTTTCAAAGAAGCACATCTTTCCTCTGCTTTCTGAGTTATGTATTTGAACAAGTATACTCACCAGCCATGAGACTACGGATGGTTGTAAAAGTTCACATTGTGTTAAGATGTGAATGGGCTGGAATATAGAAAGTACTTATCCTATGACATATAGGATGGATTAAGTGTAGGCAGGGTAATTTAATGAAGCCAGGACAGTCCCAGAGCTGGAGGTAAGAGCTGCAGATGCCTCTAGTCCTGCTGAAGAAGTTTCACATTAATTTTGTTAGTCATATGGGGAAATGCCTAGTTAGCTATTCCCTTCAATTGAAATGTTTGTATCTCCTGTTTGATATGTTTATTTAACAATGTAGCAACCAGATGGTTCTCTTTTCCAATACACACAGTGACACAATCTGAGAAGTGACACATTGTCCTTACTTCCCTCTTAAGCCAAAGAAATCAAATACCTAATTGTCTCCATAGTCTTTTACTTTTACTTTTCTTTTTATTTGACTTCAGGCCATTTAAGGAAAAGGGGCTTTTTAAAAGGCCAGATGGTAGATTACTCTGTTGCAGATGAAACTAATATTAAAGAATATAACATGGATCTATGGACAAGGCCAATCCTGATACTGAACACCACAAATAAGTTCTGATAGTGACAGAACAGAATAACATATTTCTTTTGTAGTAGATTGGCACCAAAGAGGGTGGATTGAAGTGAGAAGATCTCAGTTCTCAGCCTTGTGAGTAGTTAGGATTACAGATGTTAACCACAGTACCCAGCTTTCTTCAAAAATGTTATTCAACAATAGTCTCAAACTAGACAATTCATATCATATAACAGGAATGAGTGAGGGAAGTAGAGAGAGAAATATTGTGATTCTGTTAACCTTAACATAATCCCTGAAGACATTGTTCCTCAGATTATTATATGGTGAAGACACTGGCTTAAAACAAACCCTGAGCTGAGCACTTGTGGATCACACCTGTAATCTTAGCTAGTCAGAGGCTGAGATCTTAGGATCATGGTTTAAAGCCAGCCTGGACAGGAATGTCCAGGAGACTCTTATCTCCAATTAACCACCAGAAAACTGGAAGTGGAACTGTGGCTCAAAGTGGTAGAGCACTGGCCTTGAGTGTAAAAGCTCAGGGACAGCACCCAGGCCAAGTTTAAGCCCCACAACTGACAAAAAACAAAACAAACAAATAACAACACCAACAACAGCAAAAACCTGATCAGCAGGGCAGTGTTCTGACTTCTGACTTGAATATTGCCTGTCCCCTCAAAGGTTCATATGTAGGGAAATGAGTCTCTTGGGTGACAATATTGAAAGATGGTATAGACTTGTAAGAGATGTGGCTTATTGATAAGTCAGTAGTACCCTGAGGATTGTCCTCAGAAGGAATTCACAGCCTCTCTGTTTTGGTTTGAGATGTATTCCCTGGGGAGAAATTAAACTACAAAAATTAAGTCTTCTTGTATGTTAAAGTTAAACAAGTTGAAGTCCTAAGTAATGTTTGTAATCATTATTTTCTTTTAGGGAGAAAACAAAAAAATTAGGGTTCAACTTCTTCAAATTCTATTTTCTCTATTACTATGTATTTACCCCTGCCTTTGCCAGAGGGTTCCTTGGTGCAGGTGTGAACTAGAACTCCTTCAGCAATGGTGGTTTAAATAGTCACAAGAAGGAGTGGGCCTTTGTTGGGACCTCAGAAGATGTAATTAATTCAACAGTAGTCTCTGATAAACCTTACTTGTGTTGAAGGACAGTAAACTTGCAGAGCACAAAAGGGTTAAGCCAAAAGTGCTATGGCATTTAGAAAAACAAGTCAATCTCTAGTTCTTAGAGCCGATACCTTAGGCACATGAAGGAAGGAATGAAGAGATGAGAAAAATCTTTATCTTTACTTAAAAAAATGCCAGTCAATCTATACCTGGTATCTGGAACTCATAATGAGTTAATGAGGTTAAACTTCCTTGGGAAAAAATATCCCATCAATATGACAGCGTATTTGAATGCATAGACAGGTAGGAGAAGCAGCACCTGTGCTATTCAGTCTTCTTTTACAGAGTAAGTGGTGTTTGGGGCATTGTCCTCCACATGTAAAGCTGGTCAGCGTTAGAGATTTGTCATGGTAGAGCCTCATAGGACTCCTTTCTTATCCATATAGCATATCCAAAGCACACCAGTGCCTATTGCAGAATTGACTCTGTCTAAGGACCCCAAAATCTCTTTTAAGAGTTGTGTCACATTGAGGTTTTATTGTTTTATGCTTCATCCTTGCAAGGGCTTAAATTGTGGGAACATATCCACAGATGACTGAAATCAAATTGCTATTGATGCTTGGGAAATTATCTTAGCACAAGGTTCAATCCTTAAGATCCTAGCAGATAGTTCTGCTATGGTTGTGTCCCATTGTTGGGAACTTAGTCTCAAAAATGGTGGTATGGACTTTCAGGAGTGGAGATTGGTGGGAGAGCCTTAGGTCATGGTGTGGGCATGCCTCCAGAAGAGACTGTGGGTCATTTCTTTCTTTTTTATGTTTTCCAGTCCTGGGCCTTGAACTCAGGGCTTGGGTACTGTCCCTGAGCTTCTTTTGCTCAAGGCCAGCACTCTACCACTTGAGCCCCAGCATCACTTCTGGCTTTTTCTGTTTATGTGGTACTGAAGAGTCGAACCCAGGGCTTCATGTATGCTAGGCAAGCACATTCCCAGCCCTCCTAGCCCTCCTCATTCATTTCTGTATCAAAATGTGAGCACTCATTCTGTCAAGCTCTCCTGCCATCTGCCATTTGCCACAAAGTCTTTACCAAACTTTTACCAAATTCAAGCACAATGCTCTTGAAGAGCCCAAACTTCACACTAAACATTTTCCCTTTTCAAAGATCGATCCTGCTCAATTTCACTGTAGTAATGCAAAGATGACTAATACAACTCCAACCATATTCTGCAAGAGCTCAGCAGTTCTGTGGGCTAGTCAATTAAGGCCAAGAATCAAAGCAATCATGTCTACACTCTCACCTTGTCATTTCAGTTGTTGTTTTAGTACCAGGAATAGAAAGAAAGAAAAACTAAACACCTTGACATTACAAGAGAGAAAGTTAAGCAGGAAGAAAACTGAAGCCAAGTGAAAAAAGGAGAAGGGAAAATTGATTAGTGTTGTCTTAGAGTCTCTAGTCAGGGAAGGTAATCTTAGGGAAGGCAGCCTTTGAGCGGAAACCAGTCAGCCAAAGGATTGGTAATGAAAAAGTCTTGAGAAACACTGAGCTAGTCAGAGAAAGAAAAAAAATGGAAGCACTGAGAATTGGAAGAAGGTGATGGTAGGAAAAGCAAAAAAAAAAAAAAAAAAAAAAAAAAGACAGAAGACAAGGCTGGAGAAGGAACTAGGGAAGACTGTGTTTAACCTTATCAGTGATCATATATTTATCAGTGATCATATATTTTATGTTAAAAAGATACAGAGCTTTGGAGAAGAGAAGCAGCATAAGTCAATTTATATTTTCCAAGGATTGCCCAGGCTGATTTGTGGATGGCCTTTAGAACTAGCTGGACTTAAGTTATGTAAGCGGCAGCACCATGGCATTGGCTACTAACTAGATGAAGGTTGCTAAAGAAAAGCTCTCTTGTTGGGCTGGGAAGGTAGCTCAGTGGTAGAGCACTTGCCTTGCATGCTCGAGGCCCTGGGTTCGATTCCTCAGCACCACGTAAGAAAAAAGCCGGAAGTGGCGCTGTGGCTCAACT